CCTTTGTTTCTTTTTTTGAGGCGAGACCAAGGTGTGTCTGGAGATCAGGTATCTATCATGGTGGATGGTGTTCAAGTGGCCTTGCCATCCTATGAAGAAGCGGTGTATGGCAGCACGGGGAACTGCATTCCACCCTCGGACTCCCGAGTGCAAATCGTGCTCTCGGAGGGAGCTGGGCAGAACGGAGCCAGACAGATGCAGCAGCAGGACCAAGGGGCTCGCAATAGCTTTGAAAGAGAAGATGAAGCCCCCGGACATTCTGGACTGTGTGAAGCCAGTGGCTCTCAGCGCTCTGAAACTGTTCTTGTGCATCAGGCTGCTACCTCTTGCTGGGTAGCTGGCATGGCTAGCAGTAGACCTGTACACAAAGAGGTCCAAGATTCAGAAAGCAGTGACATACAGAGCCTTTTATCACTCACTTCCTCCGAGGAATACACAGATGGTATGTGGCTTGGGCAAGGAGCACTGAATGAGACCCTTATAAGAGTAGGTTCTGCAGCTGACTACTAGGATTAAAATGGCAAGGAATGTCCCTACGTATGTCAGGCACCAGAGGAGCTTTTGAAAAGAGGTGTCCCAGTCTCTGGCATGTTTCACAACTTAGATGTGCAAGCAGTATTTAATGCCTTCTTCTGAAGTATGCAGCACTCTCAGACTGGGGGCCTAGGGCAGTCTGGAAAGACTGTTGGGGTTCTGCTGCTTGCGCTTCTTATCTTAGCAAAGGATTTGCAGAGAAATGTCAACCTCCAGCATCGTAGTGCAAATGCAGTAAAATAGCTGTGTTTATGGAAAACAAGTCGGTGGGAGTGGGAGGATATACTTGGACTACAAACCCTTTGTGATGTTTGGGCTTTTTCATTTTTAGGCTGTTTTAGTAAGCAGCTTACTGATACAGTGCTGCAGCCTTGGCATGTGAGAAGACCTAAAAGGGATGTGCTTGAACTTACTGTACAGGGCAGAGGGGCAAGCCTGTTAAACAGTCAGTGCCTCTTGTGTTCACTTCTGTTCTGCCCTGAAGGAGTGGCCAGAGCTGATGTGAAGCTGCAGCTTAAGGTTGCTTCTGCAGAGACTGCTGTGTCTGAGGCAAGAAGTGTAACTGGCTTGCAGATAGTTCAGGGCAGAACTCCTTTCCATGGTGTCAAGTCCTATAGCTATAGTAATGCCACCCAGAGCCTTTGCAGTAAAAACAGTTAAAGGGGATTTCCACTAAAGGGCAGAAATGGCAACATATCCTGAGATGGGCATTAAACTTCAAATGTGTAAACAGCAGAAATCCGAAAGCGAAGCTTAACAAAAAAACGTCCGCAGTGTAGAAATTGGAGGATGTTGCCTCTGCACTGTGAAATATTAATCACTGCCTGGAAACATGTATTGCCTCTAAGGCTTGTTGTACAGCAGCAGATTGCCCCTTGCAGCAGGAGACCATAAAGCTTGTGCTTATGGCTCAAAGATGAGGAAGCTGCAGCTACTGGAGGAGGTTGCATTTCTTCAAGTCAGATAAGGGCAAGTGTGATCCTTGTATTTCCAACCATCCCTGTCACAGTAAGAAACGTGTCTTGGACATTTTGAGGAACTAAAAGGTTGATGAGGTCATGGGAAATAAGAAAGCTGTCATTCTTAAGGGAAGTTACTGCCTTCCCCTAAACAGCATTGGTGAGGCTTTACTGGGAATACTGTATCTTGTTGTGGGACCCCCAGTTCAAGAGAGATGTGGGGAAACTGGACAGGCTCTGCTGGAGGCCTGCCAGGATAGACAGGGGCTTAGGGGGAGTGACTGAGGGAGTTGGGCTCCTTAAATCTGGTGAAGAAGCAGCTGAGGGCCAAGTCAACAATTGACTACAACTACTTTACAGGGAGCTGAAAAGACTATGGAGCCAAACTCCTGTCAGCCAGATGATATAACGTGGGGCAACAGCCACAAGCTGTAACTTGGCAGATTCAGATTGGGCATTAGGAAAATATTTCGTGCTAGGAGGCTAGTGCAGGACCAGGTAGGCACCCAGAGAGGTGATGGAGTCTCTGTCCTTAGAGATTTTCAAGGCTGGAGCTGGCGATGGTCCCACTCGCAGGGGCAGGTTGGAGCAGAGTCCTCCAGAGGTCCCTTCTGCCGTGTTGTGATGACAGGAGGACCACTGCATTATCACGTTACAGAAGTGGGAGCCTGTCTTTCAAAAGTAGTTTTTCTGGTGTGCGTTGAACTGCAAAAGTTTGACTACTTTTTTTTTTCTTTCTCTCCCCACCATTCAGATATTCCCTTATTGAAGGAAGCATGAGGCCTGCTGTGTTTGTCTAGCCTTCTCCCTCTTGGATTTCTTCTTCCTTCCCTCCCCCTGCCTTCAGGACAGAAGCACTCTGTGCAGCCTTCCCCGTCCTCGCGAGCTGTGCCCTGGATACCTCCAAGCAGAGACGCTCTCAGCTGAAGATCCAAAGGATGTCGCCAGGTTGCCTCCTGGATGCACCAGTGGAGTTGGTGCAGCGCTGGCTTCCCCATTCCATCAGCATCAGGGGCTCAAGGAACAGAGTGGATTTGAGCTCTCCTCTCCTCTTCCCCAGCCAGATGTTTGACAGCAGTCTCTGAAGAGCTGCTCTTTTCTCGTGCCTTTCTCCTCCTCACACCGGCTTGTTGCAGCTTATCAGCCTCTCGACCTTCTGCTGCCTGGAGAGCAGGGACTAAAACTGCTTGCTCACTGGGTGCAGACACAGTTTATATATACGTATATATGTTATATAGGCTCTTCTTCCAGCATCCTCTTTGTGATAGGGCAGGACAAAACGCCTCACTGGGACTGAAGCTGGGCTTGGGAGGGATCCCAGTTAAGGGGCAGCTTGTGATGTCTAGAAGCGCCTCAGATGAGATGGGCTGTGTGACAGATTAGCTGTGCAGTAACAGTTCATTGAGAATCGCTAGAGCGCTGAAGGCTGAGAAGTCCAACGTGTAGGAATACCCTCTACCCCCTTCTCAAAAACCACCTCTGCAGGAGTCCATTCCTGAAAATCACTTTTTGTCTCCTCCTTCCTTCTCTACCTGTGCAGCCCTCTTGATTGTGCTGTGTTTCTAGAAGCTGGGACTGGGACTGTACTGCCAATAAAACAACCCTTTCAGCTTTGGTCTGGTGCCAGAGCAGCTCCTGGTGTTAGGTTGTAGTAGAGCCTTGGAGAATGGCCAGTGGTTAGCAGGGTCCAGAAAGCTTGGAGGATGTTAACACCAACCCTGTGTTAACTATGAGTCCCATTCACTGAGGCATCAGGACTGGAACCAAATTTGTGGCCCTGCTCTTCTGAATAAGCTGTGTGTCTCAAAGCTTTTTCAGTTAAGGTGGTTCTGCACTAAAACTTAGGTTCTCTTGGTCAGATCTTCAGGTGGAGGTAACACTTTGAGGTGTAATCTGGAAGTGGTTCAGGTGTTTGAAAATGTCAAGAGAAAAAAATGACTGTAGGTAGTGAATGCCTAGTGCCATTGGTGCAATCCCAAATTACCAACTTACCTTTCCAGCCACACTAGGTACCTTGGTATTTGAATCCTGGGTAGCTACTGTCTCGGAGGCTAGTGTGTCTTCCTAGCTGCATACAGCAGGAGTCTGTTGTTTTATCCTAATGGGCTTCAGTGGGCCCACGGAGAAGGGCTTCTCCCTTGTGGCAGGGGGTAAGCAGCATCTATAAAGTCTCTCCTAAATATAATGCAGTTCCCTGTTGTGGTGAGGGAAGGTTGGCTACGTTGGCAGCAGTGCCAGGGGACACCATAGCTTATTCCTGAACCTAAGTTTTGAAGATTGTTTCAAGTTCTGGTAGCAGGGAGAAGAGAATCCAAAAATATCTATACCTCTGCCCCCCACAGTTATCTACAGCAGGTCAGAATATCCTGGTTGCTGTTAGCAGGACTCTCTTTTTGCAGGAAGCCACATTTGTCTGGGGTAGGTGATGCAATCACAAAAGCATTGTGGTGCTTGTAAGGCTCTTCACCGGGGAGGTCTGGATGCTGTTCCATTGGATTGGTTTCCACAAGAAGAGCTGGCTTCTTAGATGCATGTACCTTGTCATAACTTAGTCTTGAAGTAACCAGGGAAATGTTTGCCCTGTGAGAAGCTGCTAAATTTTCATTTGAGTTGAAGGAGCAAAATGTCATGGCCTTACACATCATGTGGGAATGTACAGGTAAATAGGGATGCTGTCTGTGCTGCTTTACTTTTGGTTTATGATCTTACCATCCTCATCCTTGTTGCTCCAGGAACATACTGTCACAGCACTTGTTAAAAGTGACACAACACCTTTATACATAAATCACTGTGGCTTAGCTCCAGTTCCTGGAAATGGGGATTGGCCATAGTATCCAGCCATGCACCTGCTGCTTCTGTTCCTGATTAGCCGTTAAATCCCAGGACACCTGGGACAGCATGTGCCTGTGGATGGAAGAATCCTATTTTCCCTATCCTTGTTTTAGAGGGATGTTGTTCATTTAAAAATACAGTATTTTAAACTCCATTCCCTATTGCTCATATTATGTTGCATTAACACAAGGATTTGATAAATCCCATTTGGGTGATTTGGGTATTTTTTGTTCAGTTTGGATGGTGAAAATCCCATGTCATTTTACAGTGGGCTATGGCATCTCAGCTCCAAGCACTGTAGAGGGCAAATGTTTACACATCTGCTATTTGAATTTTAGAAAATAAGCATGGGAGCGTTTGTATTTAGCTTTAAACTCCTACCTGGGACATGGTCTAAGCTTGAGCAAATTCTCATTCGCTGGTTTATTGGGGGGATGGAGGGATCGAGCGAGTGTAGCGGTAAGGGAGTGTGGCGGGAAGAATATGTGACTTTTTTCTTGCTACCTAACCAACTCAGAGCAGGAGGAGTTGCTCTTCATGCATTTAAGGTCCTGTCTACTCAAACTGACCCTCAGCAATCAAGGTGTAGAAGTCAGGTACATGCTGTCTTCCTGCAAGGGACAATCCTTTAACTCGGTGTTAGCACCAGGTTGGTGGGAGAATCCCACAAAGAAGCTGGAAGCCGATCCTGAGGCCTGACCTTGCCCTGGACAAGTGCCTGCTCTGCCAGCAGAAACCATGTACCGTGTGGCCCTGCCTCCTCTCTCTGCTGTTGTAAAGCAAGCAGCTGCCAGTTTGGGAGAGAAAATTCAATTTGGGTGGGGAAGAGAAGGAAGCAAGCTGCACAGAAGAGGGAGTGCTTTAATTTTGTTTCGTTTATAGAAATTGTGGGAAATGGCTTTACTAAGGAGGGGGGGAAGTGCGGAGGTGGAGGGAAATATGCAAGCGTAGATCTTGTGATCAGGCATAAACAGGCAGCTTCTGTTGGCTTGCTGAGAGGGTAAAGCAGCAGCTCCCGGGCCAGTCTCTGCTGTGCTGGCTGGCAACCCCAGCTGACGCTTCCAGCGCTTGCAGAAGAGCCTGTCCCCTACAGCAACACTTGTGGGAACAGACCCCAGGGAGGCCTGCAAGCCAGAACCTGGAAAACAGTTTGAGGGGCATCACATTCCTCTTGCCCAGGTCCTCAGCTTTAGAGTTTATTTTCATATAAAATGAGGTAGAATAGCTGGGGAGGAACCTGAGAGACATCTGCCTGGCAATTGTTTTCAAGGGAGAGGGGTGCAAGGCCTCACTTCACTGATTATCAAGTGATTGTTACTCATTTGTGTTTGTTTTAATTCTGCGGAGGCTGAAGGATTGGGAAGTCTTGGGCAGAGATTTAGGAAAAACTAAATTGCACAGTCTTGTCTTTACTCATGGGAGCAAGGGCTGAGGCTTAAAGATCCCTCAGTTGTGAGCTCTGCTCTATCTCGGGAGCGTTTGTTACCTGTGAGCAAAGAGTGTGTCCTCTTTGGTTGTTGCCATATGTAGATGTAGCCTGGATCTCAGCGTGGTGCATGGGGAGCACAGGGGCTCAGCCTTGCAAGATGTAACATGGTAAATGATTTTTTTTTTCTTTTAGTTTGGGGGTTTTTTTTCTGATGAGGCCACAGCCTCCTTACCTTTTTTTTTTCCCTACATATGTTGGGCAAAAGAATTCAAAGGGAGGCATTTTTTTCTTACTTAACAATCCTGACATAATCATCTTGTGCTCTGTCATACATGCTGGATCCTGTGATATTCAAGAACATTAAAATGATTTAATTACATTGGAAAAATAAAAATAGCACTTATTTTAAAGGTTTCCATTATTTTTGGAGTCTAATAGGTTAAAAAAAAGACCATTTCAGAAATTCAGAATATTATGTGCAATAGAAAAACCTCCTTGCTCCCTTTCAGTTGCTTTTTTTTTTTTTTTTTTAAATAAATGAAATGCAACGCACTGCAGCGTTTACAGCCCAAGCATTGCAGAACTGGACCAGCCAGAGAACCAGAAAGTGAAGGTGACAGTAATCCATGGGGAAGTGGGGCAGTCTCCTGTCAGGATCTGCATCATGGAGCTCAGCCCAAAGGATTGTGTCGGAGCCGCCTGCCACCTTGAAGGGGGTCAGCAGCATTGGTGAGAGGGGTTTGTGTGTGCTGGTTTTAAATAGCTTGTGTCTCCCCATCATTAACTGCAGAAGAGGTAAAAAATGAAGTTGAGAGGAGAGACGTGCTGGAGCATGTGAGCCTGTGGAGTTGTTGCTGAGTTAAAACTTGGTGAGTTTGGGAGGGAGAACAACTTAGTGCAGTTTTATCCTTTTTCTTAACCACCAGGGAACTTGCTGTGTAGAAGAATGCTTACTCAGCAAGCATGCTGCTTGTTCACCCCTTGGATGTCTCCTCTGAGGTTTCTCCTTAGCCTTTCAGCTCTGGTGCGGTGAATTGTTTAATGTATCTGGAGCCTTTATTTGGCCTTTCAGCACATGGAGAAGTCAGGTGTGTTAGGAAGAAATCTGTGCCATGTGTTTTGGGAGGAAACATCTGAAGATGCTCCCAGAGGTGGATGACTTGGGTCAATACTGAGGAGTGGGGTTAAGAGCAACAGGCTCAGCCATTGGAAATAATCTGGGATGGTTGTCATTTGCAGCACAGAAAAGGGAACACAAGGAGGGGGGTAAGGAAGAGCTGTGACTGAAAACAGGTATGCTGCAGGCTAATGAGCTAATGCATTCGTGACCGGGTTGTAAGGAAGCTTGTGCTTTATTTAGATGATTTAGCAGACACCAGCAGGCTTGCTGTATAAAAAAAAATTAACGTACAACTGGTTGGACACACTGAGATTTCCTTGCTGACCTTTTTAGAACATATTTGCAAAACCTGGTTTTACTGTTCTGATAGCAGTTGTTTAAAAAAAAAAAAATCTGCCTTATTACTCTGTCCAGATAACTAATTAAATCAATTTCACTTTCTGGTTTCTGTATATAAATGCAATAAATCCCATCCATTTTGCACATCCTGCTTCACCCTATCCTCACCCTTCAGTCCTTACCAGGGAACTGCAGATTGAACTTGCTCTTTGTGAAAACCTTCGTTTGCAGAACAACTTCATTAGAAAACATGTATTCTTTGTGATATGCTTTGAAAGTGCATAGAGGTTTCCTAGGGCAGGCTTCATTTTAAGGCGTATTTTTATACAGGAATTAAGCCTTTTTCCAATCCTTCATCCCCTCCTCCTGCCCTTCCACACCGGCACAGAGCATGCCACCTCCTGCACTTCTCTTCAGGGCCCTGTGTTCAGCACTGCTTCCAAACTCGACCCTCTGCGGGTGATGTATGGATGTATGTACCCACCAGAACGGG